ATTGTTATCACCTAACTCTTATCAGTTGGGCGCAAATCAAAATCATAAGAGTATATTAAAGTTGGTTTTTCGTGTTTTTTGCCCAACTGATAAGAATTTGATGATAACAATCTCAGGCAGTGATTAAATCGTAGCGATTATTACATATTAATTATTCGGAGTTATTAAAACGACGAAAAAAGCAACATTTGCGATTCAATTTGACTAAATAAACCCTGTTCTGTGTCACGATCGCAATCATCATATATAAGTGAGCAGATTCGAGCAGAATTGAGCAGTAGAAAAATAATTCTGCTTTTTCTGCTCTTTTACTTAAAATTCTTTATTGTAGCTTTCCGAAATTTTGGGCTGAGCTGCAACAAGAGCTTGATGCTGACGATGATGATTTGAAACAAGTCAAATCTGTTTTCACGGCTCTCGACTACCGAACATTGCAGTCCATTGCTGGTATCAAGAATATGAAAAGCTTGAAGAAGCTGGAAATTGAATTAAACGGATTGCGTTCTAACCCAACAATTTTCGAAGAAAAATGCAACAAATTTCCCGAACTGAAAGAAACACATGCATTTACGTCTGGGTTGATAGCGACTATGATGAATGTTATCAATCATTTAAATCCGAAAATGCCAGCAATTGTGGTGAATGAAGTGGACCACGAAACTGTGCTTACGGCTTCGAAAGATATGGTTATGGTACAAGCCAAAAAGGTGCGAATTTAAAAATGATCATGATGAAATTATTTCTTTTTGTTCGACTAAATGGCCAAGCTGATATTTTTTTCATCCATAAAGGTATGCGATAAGATAACTGACGAATGCGTTATCTTAGATAGCTCTGGTTCGTTTTGCCAAATCATATGTCCTGATTGTGACTCGGCCACAAAAATATCATCATCCACCAACAAACGTACAGGAAAAATCAGTTTTTCTGTTCATAATTTCTCACGGCACTACGAAACGCACACGGAACAAACCGCAAAGCAGGACAAATCCGCTAGCCAAATTGATCTTGGTGAATCTTCGAAGAATTGTAAGATTTTAATTGTCTCTTCGTGTTTCCTTGTCTTATCGAAACTCTTTTGCAGCACGAATCCAAATTCTTGAAAGAGACCTAGAGAATCTTCGAGTTGACAATGGTGAACACTTGACCACCATTCAATCGAAAGATAAATTGATAACCGAACTCAACGGAAAAATTTTCAATTTAATGGAACAATTGAAGGAATTTGCAATCGATGGTGAAAATACAAAAAATTGTAAGGTTTTGATTGTTTCTTCGTGTTTCTTTGTCTTATCGAAACTCTTTTACAGCACAAATCGAAACGCTTAAAAGAGATCTCAAGAATATTCGAAATGACAACGATAAACATTTGAAAACGATTCAATCGAAAGAAGAGGAGATTTCTGCTTTGTTGAACGAGCAAACGAGATTGTATGTTGAGCTAGACGATTTACGCAGAAAAATCAAGTCACAGAACAACAGATTGGCTAATGAACTCGAACTCACGAAAGCTCGCACTCATGAATCGCTGTTTGAAATAAATCTGTGCTGCTTTGAGAAAGTTACCGAACCAAGCCTCAAGTTCGGAACAAACAATGTGACATTCACAGGTAATATAAATTATTTGTCTCATCGATACCAAGAAAAATTCAGTGTTATTGTTTGTTTTTTTCTGTGTGATTTTGTTAAATTTATCAATTTTCAAGTAGCGGTCTCTCTCCGCAGTGGAAACAGTAAATGTTTCTTTTCTGAATTTTACATCATCGATCCCAAATGATTTTTTTTTCAAGATATCAAAAATTTATTGAAGAAATAAGTACTTTAAAATTTCCATTGATTACACAGATTCAGGCTTGCCACACGTTAGCTATTTTAGCTATTTTCGACTATTTTAAAAACCGTAGCTATTTTCAGCTATTTCACGAAAAATTTGCTATTTTCAGCTATTTTGAAATTTATGATGAAAATAAAGAATTAACGGTATTGAAATGCAATATGATCAACATGAATCATCGAAATCTCTGGGAAATCAAACAAATACAGCTGTTGAATTTACTGACGATAAAATTCGTTTTGTTTATTGTTGATATACTTCGTTGAAACATACGATAATCAATGTATATATTGGTTGGCTTTTTTGCTAACTCAGCAAAGAATTATTTTGCTTGGTTTGTCATTATAAGTAACGTTTCGAATTGAAGACAATTGCGCGAAATTATTTCAATTATCATATGATTGAATTCAGTCGTCTTTCAGCAATGAGTGCCAAAGGAACTAAATTCAGCCAAGAATGGCTAAAGCGATCAGTGGAATTCGAAGGCAAAAATATCGAACTTAAAAGTATTTTTTCTCGTCACAGTGAAGTTGAGGTAACGTGTTTGGTATGCCCGGCAACAGTTCACGTTCAGAGCAAAGGATTTGCTGCATTAGAACAACACATGGGCACGGTTAAACATAAGAATCAAATGAAAACGAAATTCAATGAATTGCAACAAAAGTTGGATTTTGATGTCGCGTCGAATCAATCGACAAGTAGCAGTTTGGAAGCAACGAAATGGAAAATGCTTGCACCGAAAGAACAAACAACAAGAGCGGAATTATTAATTCTACTCAACGGTTTATCAAACAACTGTTCGCTAAATGCATTCGATAATTTGGGATCTGTGTTAAAATTCGCAATCAGTGACTCAGAAATACTTAAATCGCTTACATTGAATCGAACAAAGGCAACCTATATTTTGAACTTCGCGCTCGGGCCGTATTTCTACAAGAAAGTGATTAAGGATATCAATAGGCAGTTGTACTTCACACTGCTGTTCGATGAAACTGTAAACAGTGCAAACAAGAAAGAACTACAAATCCGCATTCGCTATTTTTCTAATAGTTTACAGCGAGCAGTAACGCGTCACCTGCAAACATTTTATTTGGGCACTGCCACAGCGAAAATTATCGTTTCAAAGCTGATTCAAGCCATCAATGATGCCAATCTGTCGATTAATAATTTATTAATGCTCGGAATGGATGGACCGAAAACCAATGATCTTGTAAAGACAACAATCAACAATGAATTGCTCGTGAATCGCAAAGTGAATTTGTTCGATATTGGTTCGTGTAATTTGCATGTTGTTCACAACAGTTTCTCGAAAGGATTGAAGGCTTGTGGTGATAAATTGACGGACTTGATCATTCAGACATTCAACTGGTTCGACGGATTTCCAGCGCGGCGCGAAAAATTCGAAAATGTGTGTAAACAAAAAGAAATCGAATGCAAATTATTGATTAAACACGTCGATATTCGGTGGCTTACGCTATTGGCGGCAGCAGAACGGTTTTTGTATTTACTGCCAGCAATACGATCATATTTCATGAACATGAAAAAAGCTGAAACGAAGGGCATTCATTACAGAAACATTTCCGGATATTTACGAGGAGCAGGAACAAATGACGTTGAATTGAATCTCTTATTGATAATTGAGAGCGCCACCTTGTTCAACGATTTTCTTGTGAAATTCCAATGCACTGGAACATTAATTCACACAATGTTTGACAGTTTGAAAAGTTTACTTTTATTGATAGCAACCAAAATCTGCAAACAGTACGAAATCGACATTGATATTCAAACGGTTTTCAACGCAGAAAACTTACTTGATCCGAGCAAAATCATTTTATCAAATGCCATCAAAAATCGAATCGATAAGCTTAAGCGCCAAGAAGACGATGAAACTATTGAAGGATCGTTCAAAAAGTTATATCAACAGCATTATTTAAGTGCCGCGCAATATCTCATCCAAAAAGTTAATTGGGAAAATATTAAACTGCTCCGAATTTTATCACCGGCATACCTATCGAAAGAGCATATCGCTGACACATTGATCTTGGACAAAATATTGGAACATATGGCGGAAGATGGCAATATGAATCACAATAAATTGCGTGACGAATATAAATTGGTTAAAGTCGAAATAAAATCAATGAAACAAGCTGATGTGGTCAACAGTGACAGAGACGTAGATTCATTCTGGGCTCAGTTTTTCCAGTCAAATGGTGATAAATATCCACATTTTAATCACTTCATGAAATCGCTGCTATCAGCTAGCCATGGACAAATGGACGTAGAAAGAGGTTTGTGTACATTTAGTGGTTTTGATTTTGTGCATTTAGTCGATTGTTAATTATATATTATGGTTTCATTTCGATTGTAAACAATGTTTTTTTTATATTCATTTTTAAAAGGCTTCAGCTCGTCTTCTTTGATTTTAACTGAAGATCGTGCGAAAATGAGCGAGCTAACGTTGAATGCGCGAATTAACACAGTAGAGGCAATCAGAAGCGTTGGAAATGATGTCACAAAAATATTCATCGACACAGATCTTATCGCAATGGCTCAAAATGCACGCAAACAATACCAAATTTATTTGGATGAAGAGAAAAAGAAACGAGAAGAAGAAGAAAGAAGTAAACAAAAACAAAGAGAGGCGATCGAGCAAGAGCAATTGGAACGCAGTAAACGTAGACTCGAAAATGATGAGTTGACGGAAAAAATCAACGAAGCAAAGAAACGATTTGATGATAAGAAATCGAGTATTGATGAGATAACTAGTGCTGCAGAAAATATGTTATCTACTGGATTAAAAACAAAAAACTTTGAAACAATGACAACCGCACAAGCTATGTTCGACAATGCAAAAAAACAACGCGAAGAACTACAAGCAATTCAAATCGAAATCGATAATCTGTCAAGAGCTAAAAGACAGAAGTCCGCCTTAATAAGTGGTTATTTTTCAAAGAAATAATGACCCGTCATTTTTTGCAGTGTCGAACATCGTTTATGTTTATAAACAAATGATATTAATATTGATATAGATCATTGGCATGCACTGTTTTCTTATTATTCATCAATAAAAAACGAAAAGAAACGAATATATGTTTATTGTTTGACCTTAGGAACGATTTTAATAACGGTTTGTATAGATATTTGCACTTTTCTTCGCTTTCAGCTTTTTTTGCTATTTCAAATTTTTTTTTTGCTTTTTCGACTATTTTTTTTTCAAAATCGTGTGGCAAGCCTGCAGATTGCACCAATCGACCTGTCAAACTTCATTTCAATCGAATTTATCATGGATCATCATCCGATGAGAAATTTGCGGATATCAAGAAATTGCTGGATATTTTTCTTGATGGCGGAACGTGCTGCGTTTTTAATCATGGTTTAACAAGAAGTGGCAAAACTTGCACGATGTTTGGATTTAATGATGCCATGGGACTACTTGGCCGATCGGGGGAATACCTTCTACGATCAACTGGTATGAATGTCTCGGCATTCGAGTTTGGAAAGCAGTCGTTTGATTTGATCGACGAGAAAACCG